ATTGTTAGAGTTTTATGCCTTACTAATTCTATGACTTAGCGTGTAAGTGTTTTACACATAGGTACTAAGAAGAAAGATGATCGAGCTTAGGATCAGGAGGACAACATACATCCACTCGAAGATCAGATTAGAAGTAAATTCACAGTATGTACTTTCGTTGTATTAGAAGTGTTGGCATGTAGAAAAGTGTAATTTACGTATGCTCTGATCGATTTTCGTAGTATTTTAAACATTTTGATGTAAATAATTAACTTTATATTAATGAAAGTTTAAACTTTTTATAGTTTTTGTAAATGTATATGTTTTGAAAATTCAATGTGACACCTCAAATTCGTATCCGGGTTGGGTACGGGTTAGGGGTGTTACATGTTAAGAGTTTGTTATACGTCTGTTATAGGTGATGAGTTGTATAAAGAGACCTCAACTCTTCACTGAAAATTAATGAAGCTTAATGAATTACTTTTGTTGAAATAGTTCTCTATGTATAAGCTAAGCAAGTAGTTCATCATTGTATTATTTGCTTTTCGATCCTGAGGTTTATACTGTTCTTCGCTAGTTCAGCTGTTGCAGGATATGGATTCTTTGACAGCTTAGTCCTTTACACAAAAAAAGGTGAATGTCATTCTCAATGAATCTAATTTCCTACTCTGGAAGCATAAAGTCTTGTTGACCGTTCGAAGTCATCGGCTTGAGCGGTTGTTAACCGGTTTGATACAACCTCTTCTTGAGTTTATGGTTGGTACAAATGGTGAGTCTGTGCCAAATGATCTGTATGATGATTTTGTGGCACAAGATAATGCACTTTCTTCATGGTTACTGTCAACGATCAGTCCCTATTTGCTTTCACAGTTTGTTAGGGTAGAGACATCGGTGGTTGTATGGAACAAGGTTTTGCAATTTTTTGTAAATCAATCTACAATGGCAGTCATCAGCCTTCATTATAAGCTTAAGTCACTCAATAAAGGAGATGGCAACTTGAGGACCTACATGACTCGGATCAAGGAGGTTTGTGATCCGTTGGCGTCATGTGACAGTGCCATCTCCACAGCAGAACAAGTTACAAGTATCTTAAAAGGTCTCACCAATGAATATCAACCGTATGTTACCTTTATTAGCACAATGAAAGATTCACTGTCCCTTGATAAGGTGTGTTCGTTGTTGATTGATGCTGAGGCTCAGATTGTTGGCTTTGATGCTCGAGATGATCAATTTCCTATGAGTGCTCATGTAACCAATATGAGTACTAGTTCCAAATCTAGTAACGCAGAATCTTACAATTGATCTGATTATCGTAATGACTCTGGCTATGCTACTCGAGGATGAGGTCGCGAGAGGCCAAGGGTTCAGTGTGAATTATGTGGCAAGAATGGTCACCTAGTGGTTGATTGCTGACATTGCTTTGATCAGAACTTCTCTGGTAGTGTTTCTGGTCGTGGTTCATCAAGGGATAACGCTGGCAGTGTTAATTACTCAAGTCTTGAAGTTATTCCATTAGATGGTGAAGCATGTTCTTGTTGTACTAAAAGACATGCTGAAGCTCATGTTGTTATTGCTCATCGTGATTCATGGGTGGTTGACTCTGGAGCATCACACTATATAACACTTGATGATGCGTCGACCATTGATTATAAGGGTGATTTCTCTAGTCCAGGTAAAGTACTTATTGGTAATGGTGTGTCTCTTTCTATTCATGCTACTGGTAAATCTGTCTTAAGCTCTAATTCTTGAGCACTATTGTTAAATGATTTGTTGCATGTGCCTAAGATTACAAAGAATTTGTTATCGGTGTCAAAGCTTGCTAGTGACAACGATGATTACTTTGAGTTTTGAGCTACAAGTTATTGTGTTCGAGATGAGAGGTCTGGTGAACTTCTATTGCAAGGTGAAGAACGTGGTGGTCTTTACTTTTTTCAAATGGATGCTAATGCTAGGAGTAGTAGTCAGGCAAAAGCTTATTCTGCACTTACTTCCAATAAAATGTATGAACTTTGGTATTGACACCTAAGGCATCTTGCTCATGGGACCCTAGAGCAAGTTTGCAAGTTACTTCATGTAGTTGTTGATAAGAATTTCAATGAACAATGTGTTGCTTGTCATATAGGCAAAAGCCATAAGCTCCCTTTTAATGCTTCAGATACGGTTTACACTGCTCCATTTCAATTAATCTATACTGATTTATGGGGGCCTTCACCTATTGTTTCAAACGGTTATAAGCACTATATGACCTTTGTTGATGCATGCACACCTCACACGTGGATGTATTTGCTTAATGATAAGTCGCAGGCAATTCATGTTTTTCAGTTATTCCAATAACTTGTTTCTACACAGTTTGAGTTAAAAATACTAGCCGTGCAGAGTGATTAGGGAGGAGAGTTTTGCAGTCTCTCTTATGTTCTCCTAACAGCTGGTATTTCGCATTGCTTGTCTTGCCCACACACATCTAAGCAAAATGGAGTTGTAGAAAGGAAACATAGGCACATTATTGAGCTTGCCTAGTGCTTCTTGCACAAGAATCTATGCCTATAAAGTTTTGGGCCTATACTGCAGTAATGACAGTGCATCTTATTAACAGATTACCAACAAGAGTTTTGCAAGGAATTTCTCCATTTGAATCATTGTTTCATAAGAAAACTGACTATACCTTGCTGAGAGTATTTGGTTGTAGGTGTTTCCCATATCTAAGACCTTATAATCGTCATAAACTGGAGTTTAAATCGCAGCCAGGTACATTCCTCGGTGTTAGTCCTCAATATAAAGGATTTTTGTGTCTTGGGTCGAATGGCCGAGTTTATGTATCTCGGGATGTTGTAATGGACGTTCATAGATTGAGTGATGTAGTTGTTGAGATATCAGGAGGACAACATACTTCTGATCATGAATATGAGGGCCCTGTAGCTGATTTTGTTGGCTCTCCTAATGGTCTTGAGGTCTCCAATGAGTCAATCTGTAATAGTGAAGCTTATGGTGACACTTTATCTCAAGAGGAGACTGTTGCACCTAATGATTCTGTGCAGGGTTCAACTGTCAATCACCACCCCATGCTAACTCGCAGTAAATGTGGCATTTATAAGCCAAAGGTATACTCTAGTATCCTTGATGATAGTGTTCCATTTAATGTTTATGATGCCTTGATGTCACCCAAATGGGCAGTTGCGGTTAATGTTGAATACTCAGCTTTGATTCAGAATAACACTTGGAGTCTGGTTGAGTTGCCAATAGATAAAAGTTTTGTGGGTTATAAATGGTTGTTTAAGGTTAAGAGGAATCCTGATGGTTATGTTCATCGTTATAAAGCTTGATTAGTTGCTAAGGGCTTTTCACAGATTCCTGGTCATGACTTTTGTTGATACATTTAGCCCAGTTGTCAAATTTGCAATTGTTTATGTTGTGCTTACAGTTGCAGTCACTAAGATAGGTAGATGCCAATAACGCCTTCTTGAATGGTGATTTGGCTGAAGATGTTTATATACAATAGCCCCGGGTTTTGAACAATTTGGTTATAGTGGATATCCTATAGTGTGTAAGTTGCACAAAGCTTTGTATGTGCTTAGACAGGCTCCACGTAACTGGAATGAGAAGCTCAAAAATAGCCTGCTCGAGTTAGGTTTTATAGATTCACGTGCTGATGTTTCTTTATTTGTTCGAGTCATGAGTGATTCATGAACATATATTTTAGTATATGTAGATGACATAGTATTTAATGGGAACTCAAATGATGATATTGATATTGTTGTGAAAATGCTGAACAAAATATTTTCCTTAAAAGATCTTGAGGAACTTTCATTTTTCCTTGGTATTGAAGTTAAAGGAAATATGCTGCATTAGCTCTTAGCCAGAGGAAGTATATTCTAGAATTATTGGAAAAGACAAACATGCTTCAAGCCACTCCAACGTGTACTCCTATGATATCATCCTTGAAGGGTTCAAAAAAAGGAAGTGCATTGTTACCTAATGCACGTGAATATCGAAGCATTGTTGATGCATTACTATATGTCTACCATACGAGACCTGATATTTCTTTTTCAGTCAATAGGGCGGCTCAATTCATACAAGCACCGTACGAAGAACATTTGATAGCTGTTAAGCATATCTTACGTTATATGGCTGGCACACTGGACTATGACTTAGTATTCTCAGTTGAGGATACCAGACTGTGTGTAAAGGCATTTTCAGATGCTGATTGGGCTGGTGGTACTGGAGATAGACGATCAATGACTGGCTATGGGTGTTTCTTGGAAACAGTTTAGTTACCTGGGCCTCAAAGAAGTAGAAAATGGTGTATCGTTCAACAATGGAAGTTGAATATTGTAGTGTTGTAGAAGCTGCTGCAGAGGTAACTTAGATTGATGCCTTGTTGCATGATCTAGGGTTGAAGTCACTGAATGATCCCATTATTTGGTGTGATAATACAAGTGCAGTAGTCATGTCTTCTAATCCAGTATACCATGCGAAGTCAAAACATGTTGATCTTGATATTCACTTTGTTAGGGAGAAGGTTGCAGCAGGTCGACTAAGGATGAGCTATGTACCTGCTGGATTTCAGCTCGCTGATGGTTTTACTAAGCCCTTGACAAAGGCACCATTTCAAGTATTTAGAGACAGAGTTCATGTCCATCCATGTTAAAACAAAAGAAGAAGAAGAAAGACGGGAGAATGTTAGCTAATAAGGTTGAGTGTGTGCGAAGTAAGCACTGCTTGTCAGGGTTTCAAATTGCGGTCGCATTTTTGGTTATTTTGGATTTACCTCTATTGCGGCCGTCGCGGATGCTATTGCGGCCGTCGCGGGTAACTCGAACGGCGGAGAAACCGCTATATCGCGGCCGAAATCACAGTCACAGACCATTTTTTAAAACCCCGTTGCTTGCTAAGGTGGTATGAATTGCGTGAGGTTGTTGTGCACTACATGAGTGTTGAGAATTGCGTGTGCATATTGGGATTTTCTGCTATAGTTAGGTGTGATGTTATAGGTGATGAGTTGTATAAGCTAAGCAAGTAGTTCATCAGATAGCCACGTTTTTAACCACGGTCCGACCAAAAGTGAGCGTTTCAAGCGCCAGGGTCCTTTTCGTATAAGATCCATCACCGTACGAAACTTCATACCGGCAGGACCGACCCGCATTGCAACCCAAATTTTGAACCCGGTCACAAACGGAGTAGCCACAAGAGATGCCGGTAAAAGAAGCGGAATCAGCCGCGTTGAAAATCGGGTCGGATTGTCGATAACATTTGTTACAAGGCTGACACTGGACCCAAACAATATCACTACCTGAATCAATAACCAGATATTGACTCCTCGGTGGACTACCAACGCCTATTCTGACGAAATACTCTCCAATTCCCTAAGCCATTCCCGAAATGACATCCGGCCCAAAATCTTTAACCTCGTAAGCAGCTTCACCTTCGTGGGTTCTGCCGCCGGGGAGACGGAGGAGGAGGCTCGCCACCCTTTTCACGTCCTTTTTTATACGTGCATGAAAACGACGGCCACGGTCGTGATGAAAAGTAGAGTTAACGCCGGAAGATAACTTGTCTCGATGGACGAGTTTCAGTTCCCATTCCCCTCGATGATCATCAATTTCGCTAACGTTGGAAAGATGGTGAAATTCAGATGTTTCGAGAGGCTTAAACTTAAACATTTTGGTCCCCATAAGAGTTTGATTGACGTTCAAGAGCTGTAAGTCGAGGTAAGAGGTAGCGGCCGTGACGCAGATGCTATATAGAGTTAAATGTAGCAGCGCCGCCAGGATTGTTAACATTGCGGGTGAAACTGATGACATGATGGAGGTGAGGATATTTGGGGTTGAGGATGGTAATGGAGAAAGGATCTCTGTTTTGAAAACCGGATCGGACTGACCGGTTCAACTGGGAGCCGTTGTTTAGTCCGATTTAATCTAAACCGATTGAACCGCTATTAGTGAACCGGCCAAAATCGCTAAATCGTTCGAACCGGACCGGCTGAAAACCGAGAAAAACCGGGATTTTTGTTTTTTTTTTAAAAAAAATTAAACCAAACAACGTCGTTTGTTAAACGAGCCAAGTCGAACTCGAGTATTGCTGAGCTCGACTCGAACTTGAAAACTTTAAAAGTAAGCTCAACTCAACTCAAACTCACAAGCTAAAAATTATCAAGTTCAACTCAAACTCGAAATATAATATTGAAACTTGAACTCAAAAAGGCTTGAACTCAAAAAAAATTTAAAAGCTCGATTGAAGCCTAAAATTCGAGCTTGATTGAAGTGAAAGAATAGTTCACTCAATGCTCACCAAAAGGCTCCATGATTTTGAATGCCAAATTACCTCTATTATTATCGAAATTAGTTGTGATGCGCTTCTATGTTTCTTAGCAATGTGAGATTGTTTTGTTCTCATATTTTTTACTCTTTAGAATTTTGGGATGCTCTTCTATGTTTTTTTAACCATGTGGGATTGTTTTTTTAAAAAAAATTAAACAAAATAATATCATTTTGTTATGATTTTTTTAACCCAAAATTTATTTTTTAATTATAGTTATATAATTATATTTATTATTTAATATGTTTTACCTTAAATATTATGTTGAAGTTAATTTAAATCATTTTGTTTCACTTGATTTTATGGTTTTTAACTTATATATGATATGACTTGCTTTGAATATGACTTGTGATATAAAAAATTATTTTTTATTAAATATTTTTGGTATTTTTATTTAATTTTTTTAAATAATTATAACGTCGTCCGGTTCTTCTGACCGGTCGAACTGGTTCAACCAGTTGAACCAATAAACTGATAGCATGATCAATTCGCTAACCGATCCGATTCTAAAAACCATGAAAAGGAGAGGTTTATTTGAGGCATGGGAATGCGTACAAGGAAAATGACATGTGGGGTTTGGAGATTGAGGTTAAAGGTTAAAAGCGGTTTCTGTTTTGGTTTTTGGACTGATTCAGTGTTTGAGGCAGAAAATTGTCTTTTTTTTCACTTCTGCTTTAATGAGTGGGTGTTATGTTGACCCCAAGTAATCATGTTTTTAGAATCGAATCGGTTAGCGAATCGGTCATGTTATCGATTTATTGGTTCAACCGATTGAATCGGTTCGATCGGTTGAAAGAATCGGACGACGTTATAATTATTTAAAAAATTAAATAAAAATATCAAAAATATTTAATAAAAAATAATTTTTTATATCACAAGTCATATTCAAAGCAAGTCATAACATATATAAATTAAAAACCATAAAATCAAGTGAAACAAAATGATTCAAATTAACTACAAATAATTTAAGGTAAAACATATTAAATAATAAATATAATTATATAACTATAATTAAAAAATAAATTTGGGGCTAAAAAAATCATAACAAAATGATATTGTTTGGTTTAATTTTTTTTAAAACAATCCCACATGGCTAAGAAACATAGAAGAGCATCACAAAAGTCTAAAGAGTAAAAATATAAGAACAAAACAATCCCACATTGCTAAGAAACATAGAAGAGCATCACAACTAACTTCTATAAATAATAGAGGTAATTTGACATTCAAAATCATGGAGCCTTTTGGTGAGCATTGAGTGAACTATTTTTTCACTTCAATCAAACTCGAATTTTAGGCTTCAATTGAGCTTTTAATTTTTTTTTTTAGTTCAAGCCTTTATGAGTTCAAGTTTTAATATTATATTTCGAGTTCGAGTTGAACTTGATAATTTTTAACTTGTGAGTTTGAGTGGAGTTGAGCTTACTTTTAAAGTTTTCAAGTTCGAGTCGAGCTCAGCAATACTCGAGTTCGACTAAACTCGTTTAACAAACTACGTTTGGTTTAATTTTTTTTAAAAAATAACCTAAATTTTCGGTTTTTTCCGGTTTTCAGCCGGTCCGATTCGAACGGTTCAACGGTTCTGGCAAGTTCACTAGTAGCGGTTCAACCGGTTTAGATTGAACCGGACTAGACAACGATTCCCGGTTGAACCGACCGGTCCGATCCGATTTTCAAAACAGAGCAAGTAATTGATTACTTATATAGTGTACATATACATTTTTGTGTATACTACAGTTCGTCCACACACTATTGAAATTGTAGAAGCGAAATAATATATCCAATCTTTTTCAATGGGAATAATTTATCTACAATTATAAATTTTAATAATTATTATTGATGAGAATAATTTTTTTTGTTGGTAGTTTAATTTTTTATTTTGAATAAAAAATTATCATCGTTGAGAAAATTATCATTGATTGATGTCTTTATCTTGAGAATCGATCACGAAGGACGAAAGATGGAGGTTGAAAAATATGATATAAAAGTTATGAGGATTCTAATCATTTTAATCTTAGTTAAAGATATTTATAATGATTTTTAATATCCATGTTAGGTCGACATATTAAATAAATCTATTAATTAAAAATATATAGACTAATAAAAAATTATCATAAATTTGGAAGATTTTGAAAATCATCTTCATAGATATACAACTACACTAATAATCTACGAGATTATTAACCGCAATGAGAGCAAAAGATAATGAATCTTTTAGCATGGGCCTTTTTTATGTCAACCTTTAAAAGCATATTTATCTTATTAGTATTTAATATCTTTCAATTTTTTAAACAAAAAATATTATAAGTTAATAAAGGTATAAAAGTTCATAATAAATTGATTAGATGAATTAAATATTTTTTACAAAAAATCATTTGATCTAGTAAGATGATGGGCTAGATTCCTTGAGTAATATCACAGATTTTGATCTTAGCATTTATGAACGGAGCAAACTGAGTTAGGATGTTCATCCTCACATCTGCAGTATTCGATCTGGATTAGCCAATCAATGAATTGGATACCAATGATTAATTCAAAAAATATTATTTAAAAAATAGTTGAAGTGAACAAACTAACTGCTTAAAAAATATTCATATAAAAAATTAATGAACAAATTATAAGTACAAATAAACATCATTGTCAGTGGTGAAGGATAAACAACACTAATACTAACATAAAAATTTGTACAATGTTGAAAACCTAATATTTTTACAACTCAATTACAAATTATCTTCGATGATTGTGACTATCTATCAATATCTAGTCTAAAGATCTAAAGTAGAAATAGATCAATAAAATAACCAAATAAACACTATCTGAATTCAGAGTGATAACGTTTAATTCAATCTTAAAAATAAAGTAGGAAAGACATACTACAAGAAGAGACAACATCATTAATCATTTTCATTAAAAAAGCTGATTAAAAATCAATATAACTAAACATAAAATAAAAAAAATCAATGATTAATAGTTAATTTAAAATTAATATCATTCTTAACAATAAAAGTACGTAGAAATATTAATAAAAAGTGCAATACAGGAAAAACGGCTGGAGTTTTATGTACTATGACATAAAAAGCATATTCATATTAAAAATATATATAGCATTAAAAATATAATTGATTAGAAATGAACCATACATCAATATCAATCCACCCATGATGAAAATGTTCATTAGCAAAGTTTGTCTTCTCTTTTCCTTTAAATTAATTGATGGAAACCTAAAGTACCATTACCTTTATCACACTGTATATATATATATATATGATCTAATTATACATTTTTTTTTTAATTTTACGTAAACTTATAATCGTTAGATGAATAAAAATAAATAATTAAAATTAGCAGTAGAAAATAAAAAATATCTTCATTAAAAAAATAAAAATTAATCTCAACCATCTATTTTTATATTTTTAATTAATTACTTGAAACATAAATTATTATGGTTGCTAGTGATAATTACTTTATTTAATTAATATCACTATCAAGTTTCAATCTAGCTCAATTTCTACAAGTCTCTCTAATAGTAACCCTCTCTCTCTCTCTCTCTCTCTCTCTTTCATCAATCCAGCTTTCCACTTTTTTCACCGCTCTCCTTTCATTATGATATGAGAGGTTCTTGCAAAGCATGCAAATCCGTGGACCAGATCATACATTATCATCCTCACTTGCACAACCTCTTAAACTCCACTATATATTGATGACTAATTGAACAATCAAATTCATAAATTAAAATATATTTGAATAAAATTTTCACGTACTCTCAAAGTTCTCAAAACTTCGTTAACTTAAGTTTTTATCGACACGAACAAATACAAAATTTTATGTTAGAGGTGAATTTGTAAAATTTTAAGATAAATGAACTTATAAACTTCGAAAGACAAAAATATATTATGACTATAAAATATAAAAAAATATCTTAAATATGTAATAATTTAAAATTTTCCAGGAGCTAGTGATTTGACTACCGTCAATCTATCCATACATATCGGTGTATAAATGTTTTGGTGATTGAGTGGATGAAAATAGGATTGATGAGGATAGTGATCTGACTACCTCCCCCATGGGCAATGGACCATGGCGATAATGATGCTGAATAATGTGCCTCTTTAGCTGTTCACGCATGATGCTGTTGCAGGCCATGCAAGACACTATAGAAATGGAAATGCATAACCATTGCACGACATGCGACTCTCTCATACCTAAGCTATTACCCATTATTTCCTGCATATTCAAGTCCACCCCCAACAATGGGACAACATGGTTCTTTAATAATATATGTCCGGTATGGACCGGTAAGATTTTTAATTCTCATATAATTTAATTATTTTTTTATACTTTTTATTGATAATATGTTTTCATCTATAAAATTTTATAAATTTAATTTCTAATATAAAATCTTACATTTGTTGTCCAACACTCTTTCTCCCATTATATCCATGATTGACATAATTTATTGCATGCATTA